GAAGGATGATGTTGACCTGGGAGAATACGAGTCTGACCGAAGTGTGGAGGAATACTGTGCTCCAGAGGTTCTTATGGATGATGTAGATGAGACCGAAGCAGAAATTGCGGAGGAAGTGTTTTTTGGCGAGAATGTTTTGGAGAGTTTTGGAGGAGCAGATGAAGTTTTAGCCGGGAACCTGAAGGACTCAGTCTTACGGTGCATGTCTGCAACGGGCTGGGAAGACGTCGTGGAACCAGACATTCACGAGCATATGATGGAGCCGTACGAGCCCGTCAGCAATTCGACCAGCTATCCAGGCTTACGGCAAGGATACTCCGGGCCTTCAGCAGAGGCCCTGCGCCACGGTGACCTCCTATTGCGCTATTTTTCTACTTTTTGCCGGTGGTTTTGCGGCAACACATTGCCGGATACTCGAATAACTACCACCAGGAGATGCTTCCATTGCGGATTGACGCAGCTTACTCACGATATCGGAAGAAACAACGTCGCCGTCCGGATTTGCCCCGCAAGACCCGTCGGGGCATTCGGAATGAGCTGGAAACTATGAAGCCTATCATGCCGCATGAACTTTGCCGATTCATTGGGCTGCTGATTGCCAGAGCGGTAGCTCCAAACCGTGAGAAGCTGACCAACCACGGGAAAACTACTGATATTGGTGCAATCTCGCGAGGGTGTTTTGGCTCAGTGTTACCGCGAGACCGTTTCATGGAGATATCGAGAAACCTGCACTTCAATTCGAATCAAGACCCTCGAGCACAAACAGATCGTGCGTGGAAGATAAGGAAGGTGGTGGAGGTTCTTCAAAGGACATGCGCACGTGGGTTTGTTGCGCCACCGTACTTGTCGTTTGATGAAGCTGTGCTACCAAGTCGTTCATCTTTCAACAAGATGCGCGTGTACATGAAGGATAAGCCCCACAAGTGGTGCACAAAGCTCTTCATGATTTGTTGTACTGCTACCGCGTACTGCACTCGGTACGCCGTTTTTTTGGCCCTCAATAGCGTATAACATGAATTATGCAGTTTACTAACAATATTTTGTTCTCGTGATGTATATATGCAGCTTTGAGATCTACTGCGGTAAGAAACAACATGCCAGTGATGCCCATAAGCCAGATATGAAGTCGGGACCCGCTGCCGTAGTGCGAAATTTACTGGAGGTGTTTGGACAAGATGCACGGAAACAAGCAATGAGGCTAGTTGTTATTGACCGCTTCTACACTTCGGTCGCATTGGCTATTCAGCTCCTTCTTATGGGATTCTACTGCGTGGGCACCATTATGACGAATCGCCTGGGCTACTGCAAAGAAGTCATTGAAAAGATGAAAACTCGACCACCGACAATCCCGCGTGGTTCCTTCAAGATTGCAAGCTCAAAACCCGTGCCAAATATGAAAGCTATTAGCTGGTGGGATTCCACACCAGTTCATTTCCTACGTACTGGAGGAAGCACTGAGATTGACAGAGTGGGGCGCCAGGATGGAGCTGAGAAGGTGGAGGCCCCGTGCCCAAGAGTTGTGAAAGACTACCATGCCTACATGGGAGGCGTTGATATACATGATCAGTTGCGATTGCAACGGTACTCTCTACAACGCGCACTTCGCTTAAGAAAGTACTACAAGTCACTGGTGTTGGGTATGATCGATTTAGCTATTGTCAACGGCTACATCATCCACAAGGCGTACCACAAAACCAACACCACACAGCCTTTATCGCATGTCAAGTACATGATCAAGCTTCATCTTCAGCTCACGCAGCTCCACGCCACTGACATGTACGAAGGCAACACCTTCGGGACTCAGGTTCCTTCTGCTGTACCTAGCTACGAAGACATTCCTGGCGGCCCCAATCAACGGTCAAAGCATGCAGCGCGACAGGTGAACGAGTGGCGCGATGAAGGCAAGCAAGCAAAGCGGCGTCAGAGAGCATGCAATGTCTGCTCTACGCTTCGTCACGACACCAAGCGAGCATCTACGACTACATACTTTTGTGGGGACTGCAACAACGTGGGTCCAATCTTCCTCTGCAAGCGTGCTCGGCGAAATGTCGGGGGGGGGGGCATGACTTGCTGGGATATTTGGCACAAGGAATGGGTGAACGGCACACAAGTTCCTGTAGAAGACGCGAAGCCAATCCGAGTCCGTCGTAAAGCTGAACTGCCTGGTACGCCGTCGACACCCGGGACTCCGGCTGCACGCAAGAGACACCGCACAAGCCCGTAGCTGCTATCATGCATTTTAAGCTGTCTTTAAGATGCATATATTCAGCAAGTTATTAATTTGGCTCACCTTTGATGGATCACATGTAAGCAGGTATCTGAAGCGCTCATTGAACTTGATTGCTTCCGTCCGGTTTTGGCACACGCACATCCGAAATTGCATCCTGCTCGCCCTATTTTCACGCGAAAGTGTGCGTGTCAAGTAATTGCTCCACCAGCTGTGCTTTGAGGCTCTTTGGTTCATTTGAATTTTGTATTGTGCATAGAACGCATTCGATGGCATCAAAAGCTTGCGTTACCTGTAGAGATGACACACCAACTTTCTATATGAACTTTTGTATAGGAAGTATTGTTTTCTAAATTTCGGAAAATGAGGACTGCGGGCAGGTTCGGCTCTGTTCAGCGGGTTCGGCTAGCTGTCCTGTTCTTTTCCACACTATGTAGCATTATTCGATTGGCAGTGCTACGAGCGAGTAATTATGCACCTTGTATGCTACATTAGCATGGCTTTTGCCCTGACCCGCCCATGTTGCCTTCCCCTAAACAATTTTATATACAAACCCCAAGCTTAATAATGTAGCATATGCAGTTTAGATGTTCCAGCGAGCTCCCGGTCTGGAGGGGTTAAGGCCCAATCTCAACCGGTCACACCGCATCGCACGATTTTGCTCCCTGCGGTCGCGTCGGCTGAGAACGGTTATGCAGCGCATAACATACATTTTAAGCGGCTGGTATATAATAGATCTTGTCATTGTGGAATATATCTCTGTTTGAACTCTTTTTCTAATAGCAAACGTTCAGCATGAGCAAACCAGTTGATGCGATGTCGAACTATATTCATTTCGCTGCCACTCGAACTCTCCTCGTCGGCGACAGTGGCAGCAAGCGCAGGCAGAGCAACAACATAGAGCTCTCCTCTCTCGTTGGACGAAAGCACGGGCTAAAGTTGGAATTTGGAAAGTGCAGCTTCAACTGAGCATGTTGAAGCGGAGATTGATTTGATTAACTCCGTCCTCATGCTGTGCCTAACCGCTTTATGCGGCGATATCACCGCATGCGATGAAAAGCTCGCACAACAGCCTATTTTTTTCAACGCTGCATGCGACCACCTAGCCCTTCATTAGTTCGTACCCAATGAATGTTCTATATTTAGTCGCATGCGACCGCATGAGCCGGTTGAGAATGAACCTAAGTCTATGCTTCACAGCACGAAACTCTTATTCTGTTGCGATCATTTTGTATCTCGTATACCAGATCTCGAGCAGTTACGTTTACATGTAACAAAGGGCAGCACGTTGTCGACGGTTTTTCATCTTGGATAAAAATGATGCCACCTTGTAATATCCGATATGCACACAGCCGTTTATTTCGCCTAGTTGGACTTCCAAATCATGTAATATATTCCTCGGTAAATCGATCAGATTTAATCCTGTACTTAGTATGCTAATTTACTATTTCTATTGTCGTGAAGGAGTGAACGTCGGCAATCACGGTACTTATAACGGCAAATCTACAGCCCATGATTTCTACACTATGATTTATACATGATTTGGCCCATGGCTGACCATGTTTGTACTTTAAAATATTTTTTTGTTTTAAAATACAGGCGGGAAGCCAGTCATTTGTCTGACACGCGTCACGAAAAGGCGAACCGCTCGCCACTGCTGCCCCGCGCGTCCTGGCAAGACCCCGAGACCCCCGCAAACGGACAGCGGCCTCTCTGCACCCCCCACCCCCCACGTCTGCCCGCAGGTACGCAGAATCTCCTATGCTCCATCATCTTCATTGACGCGTACAGGACGCAAAATAACTCTTCCTGCTGCTGAATCATGTTGTGTTGGACTGTAGAGGCGTCTCATCCGCCTCATAATCTGATTCCAGGCCCCTAGTCGCCTCTGTCTTCGCTGTAATGGCTCCGAAGTAGAGAAACCTCGAAGAGGTGCGAATATGTTTGTTGATTGGATATGAATGCAGCTTTTGCTGATGAAATGCCTGCGGCTCACCCAGAATCGCTCACACGCGCAATCCACCACCGTAAAGCAGTTGAGAAGCACGACCAGAGCTCTCTACGAAACGGTAAGACACATCTAATACGATGTTACCATGCGATGCATGTTCGACAACTAACTCTTTAACTAACTTTTTGTGTACTACTGTCACTTAGTAACCACTGCATTACTGTAACTTGGTACTCGCTGGAGTTTCTGTTCAGGTATGTTTGATCCATGACCTTCGTGGCTATGATAGATAGTCAGGCTAACGAGGTCTTCCATGTTTGTTACATGTTTCTCCCATGTATTGATGTTACACAGCATCATGGTTCGGACAAAGAATACCGCCAGCATCTTAAGAGCCCTGGGCATGAAAGTATCGTCAAGTAGCAGTAGCGATGCGGACAATCTGCCCGATGACGCTGAGCTGCAAGTCTCTTCTGGGAGTATGATGATGACCGAGGCTGTGCTTGATGGCGTACCAAATGCTCAGAACACCGATGATATTGCGGGGCCAACCCGAGACGTTGGTGATGATAAGGCTTACAACAATTCAAAGGAGAATAGCGACGAGAATAGCGACGCTGCAGACAGTGGTGATCTTCAATCCAGCGACAATGATAATAGTAGTGAACCAGATCCGGAAGAAAAGGAGGGCAGCTAATGGCAATGAGCTACATCTGGAGTTTAGTTCATGCTTGAAGAGAAGGAATGCTTTGCTACTCGTGGCTTGTGAGTAAAGTTGATGAACAGTTTCTAAATGAAAGAGCATGTGCCCTGGTAAAATTAATGGTTGATACGTGGCCGTTTGAAAGACTTCCGGGTTTCGGAGAAGGTTTTGACCTGGATTGGAACCATCTGTGCTGTGCCCGCAGCGGGTGCTGGTATCACGACAACCTAATAAACGTCTTCATGATGACCCTGGTGGAGAAGTTCAAGAACAACACAACGCTTTTCCTGCTGTCATTGCATACACCTGCGCCGAGTAAAGGCAAACGAATCCCTCCGAGAACGCTGCGTTTGGTAGCAGCTGCTGACAAGGATATGGTATTTATGCCTTTGAACATCAACGGAAATCACTGGGTGCGCCTCGTTATTGATCGATCAAGAACAACTATCTACTGCTTCGAAAGTTTCAACAAGCGGCCGAACCAGAATCTACTCGCAGCGTTGGCGGAAGAAATTGGGCGGAAGGCTCTTTCAGTGGAGTACCATGTCGGTACACAGCCCGATTCAAAAGGACAGCGATAACTGTGGTCTATTCATCATCTTGCACTTCTGGAGACGATTCGTTAAGGAAATGAGAAGTGATTACACGACGGTGGGATTGCTGCGCCGGCAGTGGGACGTTCTTCGGACCGTGGTGGACTTTAGCGATGCGAGTAAAGGTGAACAGGACTAAGATGCACCCTAACACGATGAATACATACACATCGCGCGTTTCACTATATAGTTCTGGATCATGCAAGAAAAGAGGGGGGGGAACTGACCGACACCCCAGCTAATCTCTCACTCGTCAAATTATATATCGTCCTGGAAACATGATTTAACCATGGTTATTAATGGCAAATACATGGACATCATTTATGACACGTGTTAGTATTGATCATGCAGTATGAGGATCCGACAGGCGAATCGCGTTCAGTCTTCAATTATCGGGTAGTGGTGCGAACATGATTTGGCCGTGACCCAACATGGGGAATACATGCTCAAAATAAATACCTCACTCCGTAATACACTTCGGGGAAATCATGGAGAAATCATATTAACCATGGGCAAAATCCATGATTACTGTCCCGTAGCCCGAATGAAAAACATGGGCTGTAGCACTGGGCTACTTTTAATACTGTATGTGGCCCATACTTGGTAACTTACACTAATAAATCCTCTTTGGTATTAGCCGACATCTATTGCTGTCAAGTGTTCACTTATCTTAATAATCACTGAGTGCCTTCAAATTGTTACGAAAAGATACGCGTTATTTTAACATGTTGACGTTAATAACGTACGAGAGCTTTGAAAATACAGTTTTATATTCAAACACACAGTGCGAACATTTTTAAGGGGATTGAGTAGTTCTCTTATGCATAACTTAGCATTAAGTGATAAGTTTTATGCTCTGTGATGTCATAAATCTATTGAATTTTGCAACATAATTTTATTATTGGTACCTGACCTTGACAATACAATATGATATTGAGTTAATTATTGACAATAAATATGGCAAATGGTACCCTGGTACTCGTCTTTTGTTCCGATATGGCATCGTCTATCAGAACCGATGACATCGTTTTCGTGGTCCACCACACCATAATTTCCAGACTTGACGGCAGCCACGTAAAAAACAAAGTCTCAAATCCACGGACTTGCTAGCGCCAAACGGTAGTAGAAGATGCAAAAAAACGAGTCTATCTGACAGCCTGGAGCAAAGTCTTAAGGAACTGGAGAAGGAAGCAGCTGAACCTGGTGTCGGTCTTTCTTGGAGGCTCTCCAGGATAACACCGACCAAAGGATGACATTTCATAATTCGAAGATGACCCCGACTTGTACGTTGGAGATTGAATATACGCTAAGTAAACTAATCAAGATGGATAATACTACTATTTCTAATAATTTTCTGGATGGGGTTTCAAGAATTAACCTGGCAGCCGTCGTCAGACCTACCAGTGGTAGGTAGTTCCACAGAACATGATAACGACTTTAAACAATGAGGATCCAGTTGACTATCGGGTCAGCATACTCTCGGGGATCATGGCTGGTACAAGTGTACCCGGTAGGGCAAGACGTAGCTAGATATTGCTTCAATATTTTTAAAAATCGGCAGTTTTTTTTTTTGGAAGTGCTAATTTTTATTACGGCAAAACTTTGCCCCCAACCCAATACACTATTGTATTTTCCGACCTCTGGTCACTCTTCAATTTGAGAGATCTTTGACCCTTTGCTGCTATTGCGTTCTTTTTCCGTTCAAGTTGTATTTTTTACTAATAATATATTAAAATAACGTAGGGGAACCTGTGTCGGGAAGAGAACTCTACAGCTATTATAATATGATGTTAAAGTAGTTTAATCAAGCTGTTTAAGCCGATCAGCAGCTTGAACACATCGCATCATTCGAAGCAGCATGGTTAGATCATCCCAGCGAATGTCTCCGTTTGGTTCGAAAGGCTTTACCGTCTGTTCGAGAAAAAAATGGGTCGGGTTGCGATTAGTTCGTTGCTGGCATGAAGCAGACAGCACTTAGTGTGGGGGGGGTCAACGGAAAGCCTTCTACTCACTGGGCATCATCACTAGGAGTGAAATGCCGAGTTGGGAAGTTAAGAAACCACCGCCTGGTCGACTGGCCGCACCAGGCAGTGGAGGGAGAGGAGAATTTACTCTAGGACTCATAATAGATTTTTGGGGTTACCAGGAAGCGCCAGCTTCCCTCGCAGTGTGTTTATCGCTAAGACCCACTACAAATAATTATTTAGTTGCGAGGTCTCGCGACTACAACTGACCTACTGAAGGACAACATGACGTTCGCGACGGACGATGACACCACCAAATGTCAAGCAGCTGGTGGCTCAAGTGTGTCGGAAATGGTTCAAGCGACAGAGATCTCAACCCCGTCGAGCACGTCGAAGGCAGCTCGCGTTCCGCAGCCGATCTTCGCCGTAGTGACGGCTCCTAAAGTGACTTCCACCTCGCGCGAGGCTTTGATTGAGTGGTTAAAACTCCGCAAGGAATACGAGGAGGCGACCAAGGAGCGTTGCAAGGATGGCAAAGAGGATCTCGCTGCTGTGTTGAAGAGTGTCAAGAACTCGTTCGACGACGGTTTGTAGACAACGCTGTGCGAGGCGAGCTGGGGGAGGGAGTCTCTAAGAGCGACCTGACGGACGCGTTTCTGCTGGAGCAGGTTCACGCTATCACTGACAGTTACCCGAACCAAGTGTTGCATTCGGTGAATAATCTGTTTGAGAGTGAATTGAAGATGAACATGGATAACACTGACATTCGGTCTCGCGTAACGGACTACTTTCTCTCTTGTAACTCGCTCATCAAGAAATACGGCTTTGGTAGTTTTTTTGATGGTGAGAAAGATATAAAGAAGGAATGCAAATTGTTAGTAAACCCCTTGATTGAAATGCTCAAGAAGAAAGTGAAAAACGAGATCGAGTACCGTGTGCCGGACGCACAAACCAGTGTACTGAAACTGTCCAAACTGATAAACCAACAAGCTCTCGAGCAAGCTATTGAGGATAGGGCTCTAAAAAAAGTCAAACAGGCATCTCTCAAGCTGAAGGCACGCGAGCCCTGACACTCGTTTCGCAACAAAACAACGCCAGATCAGTGAGTATCAACATCTGTCTAGCAAGAAACCTAGATTTCGGAAAGTCGAAAAGTCAACTGAAAAGAGCGACAAGTCCAGCAAGAAAGGAGCACCAAAAGCTGGGTGTTTTCACTGCGGTGGGGAACACTACCTCAGTGACTGCCCGATCGCAACCAAGGAAGACCGTGAACGTCCAGCATCCAACACGAGCAAGAAAGGTGACCTTCCCCCAGCGGGGAGGCACCGCTAATTTGCGTCGACTTGCCGAGTGCCTGCCGGCACAGACCTGCTCAGTCGTGCTGAAGGACGCTTACGCAGTGTCTTTCTGCGCCGATAGTGGTGCAGACAGGTCTGGCATGAGCATGACCGTCTGTGAAGAATTAATACAGGTTTGTTCGGAGGTAAAAGCGGTGAGGCTGGAGGAACTGCTAACTTTTAAGGTGCCGATGGAACGTTATCGAAGTAACAATGGTTGTGAATTTGCATCTAAAACTACGGACAGTGGCTGGTAGCGTTCGTATCGCAAAATCAGTGGAGTATTTGATCATTCCTGGTGACACGAAACGATTTCTACTAGGTAACAACATGTTGACGATGTTAGGTATCGATGTACAGATGCAACTCGACTTGTTCGTTGCCAATGCCATTCCAAAATGAGCAGAGTGATGAATTTGATGCAGTTGAGAAACCACAAATTGGCACAAGTACGGAACTAAGTGATGAGCTTCGACGAGCACTGGACAATATAATAGAGAGCGCAGTTACTAAGGGTTTCTCGAAGGAATCGGTCCCAGATCTTCGGCGAATCTCCGCTCGATTTGATATTTGGGCTCTCAAGCTCGGCGATGACCCTCCCGCGCGGGTACCACCTATAAAAATTCGTCTCAAGCAGGGAACCAAGCCATTCCGGTGCAAGGTTCGACGATATCCACCTGATGTTAGGAAGTTTCTCGATGCTTTCAACGATGAATTGGTTCGATTAGTTTGTTTGTATGAGAATACCGAGAGTCGTTGGACATGTCCAGTGTTGCCTGTACGGAAGAGCGGTGGTAAATTTCGACAAACTGCCGACTACAAACCCTTAAATGCCGATATCGAAGCGATCGTCGGTGTGATGCCGGACCTACAAGTGGACCTCGAGTTGGTGCAAAGTGCACCGTATTTTGGCCTCTTTGATTTCATCAAAGGATACTGGCAGCTTGTACTTACTGAGGAGTGCCAGAAATGGTTATCTTACATGACACATCGGAAAATATACACGCCCCGGCGAGTACCCCAAGGATGCACGGATGCTGCTCTTTTCTTTCAATCCACTGTGCAGAAATGCCTTAAGGAGCTGTTACACAAGCATCTACTCGTGTGGATCGATGATTTATTGCTGTTCGCAAATGACGTGGATACTTACCTGAAGAAACTGGAGAGGCTATTTGAGCTATTAGATTTCTTTGGGTTTAAGATCAGCCCAAAGAAGTCCAGTCTATTCGGGCAACAGGTGAAGTGGTGCGGAAAACTGATCAACGGAGACGGTGTACATCACGATCCGGAAAGGATTCGGGCACTCCATGAGCTACCGTACCCCAAGACGGCTGGTGAGCTACAACAATTTCTCTGCGCGACGAACTGGATGAGGGATACTCTGGTAGACTTCGCACGGACGGCCGGTCCTTTGCAAAAGGCGCTAGATGCCGCCCTAGCTCGAGCTTCAAAACGTACGAAGCGGATGTCTTCTGGTTTAGCGAAGGACCTAAGTGTGCTGGAGAGGAGCGCTTATGATCAAATATAAGATCTACTTTCCACGAGTGTAACCCTTGCTATTCTTAAAGAAGGAGCAACTATGTGTCTACTGACTGATGCTAGCGACTCTGGTTGGGCGGTATTGGTATCACAATTAGTACAATGGAACTCCCGAAAAGGGGTGCATGAGCAGCAACACCAACTTCTGATCTGTTTAAGCGGTACTTGCACGGGATCACAGTGCAACTGGGGTATTATCGAGAGGTAGGCGTATCCTATAATTTGTGCTTGTGACAAGCTCAGCTGTTTGTTGCTGCGTCCTGGGGGCTTCATACTCTACTGTGATCATAGAAACCTCGTCTACGTGTTTGCAACGAGCAAAGGAGTAAAGAAACGTATCAGAGCAAAGTTGTTGAGGTGGTCCACGAAGCTCATGGAGTACCGCTATGAAATTGAACACATCGATGGTGACTCAAATACATGGGCCGATATGATCTCGAGGTGGGCGGGCAATCATGACAACGTTGTAAGCTTAAATGCTATGCAGCTACGGAAATGTAATCGAGATATTACTGTGGCAGACACTGTGGAGACTCAACCGCGAAAAAAAAGCGACGGCGACGTCGCAAAAGCAAAACCGTAGCTCAGTCAACACGGCGACAGCAGGTTTCACCACCTGAAGCGCAGCAATTGAGGCCACTTAACGACCCCGCCTTTGTATGGCCAACCACATCAGTTATTATAGCATCTCAAATACAACATGCTGACGAACGACCTCTGTCGGCATGTGGAGATGATGATAAGGGATGGCTACTCAATGGAAAATGGTGGATACCGAGCAAAGCATTATTGCTTATACAACGTCTCCTGGTGGTGGCTCATTGCGACTCCCAGGCTCACCGAGGACGAGAGGCGATGATAGAATGTATTGGGTGATACTTTGCCGTCCATCACCTCCGAGCTAGAGTCGAGAAGTTCCTTGCAGGGTGTATCATGTGCAAGCACGTGAAAGATGCAATAATTATTCAGAGACCATGGGGATCTACGTACCGTACCAATGAACGGAATGGTGCGTTGTATTTCGACTTTCTATCACTCGGCGACAGTTTCGCAGGTGGCCGATATTTACTAGTGCTAAAAGATGAGGCGACGCACTACACGGAGTCGACAGCTTGGGCCAGCCCAACTAGTACAGTTGTTGTAGAAGCAATTCTTGCTTGGCATAGCAAGTATGGCGTACCCACGCTGTTGATTAGCGACCAAGACACGCATTTCAAGAATTGGTGATGATAGAGATGTGCCGGCGGCTAAAAGCGCGCCATGAGCTTACTATAGCCTATTCGCCGTGGATAAATGGAAGTGTGGAGAGGGCAAATCGAGACATTGTTCAGGTCCTTCGCGTCCTGTGTTTAGAGTACAAAATTGACACGCATGACTGGACATTTGTGCTTCTACTCCAAGCTAGCCTGAAGCATACCCCGGTTCCGTCACTTGGAAACCGAGCACCTGTGGAACTTTTCTGTGGTCTATCGCTTCCTACACCCCTGTCACTATGCAAAAGAAAATAGTGGAGATGCCAACGCAACCCGAAGCTATTGCAACATGGCTACAGAAGCTACGCAATAACATCCGGAAAATGCATAAGTCGATGACTGAGGAGCGTGAACGGCAGACAGTGCGTAACAAAAGGATGCATAAGTATGCGTGTCGCCCCAACTTTGACGTTGGTGACTACGTGTCTAGGTCGCGTGTTGATGAGAAGCATTACCTACCAGATCGTAAGTGCGAACCCACACTCTTTTGCGATTCGTCATTTATTGACGGGAGAGGAAACAGACGTACACCCTTCACGGTTGAAAGTTTACGCCGATAGTTCACTGCAAGTCACAGAGGAGATCCGCGATCACGTAGCCGCTCAGGGTGTGATCCTATCGGTAAATGAGATAAAAGAGGGTCGTTGGAACGAGAATAAAAAGGACTACGAAGTTCTTGTTGGCTGGAGAGGACTCGAGCCGATTGAAGAATCGTGGGAGACAACAGAACAGCTGAGCAAAGACATTCCTGCTCTCTTGACTCAGTTCGTGAAGCAGTCAAATGACAGACTATTGGAGCGCTATGTTAACGGATTGATTAATCCAAAGGCCTCGCCAACAGACCGGCGGACACAAAACACACAACGGGACGTGCAGTCAAATTTAAAGCCACGATCTACAGGCCGACCTCCACAGAAAGGAAAGAGGAGAGTGCAAAGTAGCAATGCATAAGTGAAGAAGGCTTTGGGAGGGCACTGTAGTGGGAGGGGGGGGGGGTATCAACGGAAAGCCTTCTACTGGGCATCATCACTAGGAGTGTGATGCCGAGTTGGTTTCACTTAGAAGTTAAGAAACCACCGCCTGGTCGACTGGCTGCACCAGGCAGTGGAGGGAGAGGAGAATTTACTCTAGGACTCATAATAGATTTTTGAGTTTACCAGCTTCGCGCGCAGTGTGTTTATCGCTAAGACCCACTACAAGCACAAATAGGTGAGGTTGGCTGTGACTGAGAGGTTACAACTGGTAGCCGAACCCGCCCAAGCTGTATCCTTGGTCAAATAATTTTTCTTCAATGGGTTTAATTAAGAGGAGGTCCACTCTGTACTCGCGGCAACTTGGTTTTATCTGAAAAGTAAGATTGAGCTATAGATAGTACTATTCTGCGTTTTGAAGATAAACATGTATTAGTATTACATGTAAAAGGCGGTACGATATCATTTGTGTGCCCGGGTGCGAATAAAATGGAGAAATTTCAGAGGCTTTCATTACGATTTGATACAATGATGCCCTAAATTTGCCAATGGTCAGTGAATGCCGCTGAAGCAATGCCTCATATATTCCATGCGAAAGAGAGTATAGAATCAAGCAACTCCCCCCGTATTTCTGTCGTGAGTTTGGCCTACCTCGACGTGAATGTTGACATTTTGTTGTGGCATGATACTGAATCAAGAAGATACAACTACAAATAATCGCTCTTGACCAGAATTTTTTAAAGGTTCCCGCTCTGACTGAAACAGCTTTGTTAATACAAATAGTAAATTTACGTTGATTTTTATCTGCAATCTTTTATCCATAAGAGCAATAAATCATCTAAGACTGCGATATCTAGCTTTGTGTTGGCATATAAACCGATGTAGCAGTCGAAAAGACCCATCATGCTCTCCTTTAAGTTACAGTAGACAAGTAATTCATTGACCAAACTGAGTGAGCGGTAAATTGAAAAAGCAACGTTGTATCAATAATAACTGCCATAAATAACGTAGTGCCCGACGTATCCTACAAGAAGCGCATATGCACCTCTAACACTCCGCTGGTCGATGACTACTTTACGCTTGTATGCACATCGGGCAACGTGGGCTGAATTCAGACTTAAGAAAAATATCTGACCTAAATCCAGCTCATGTCTGAATACGATTCGAGAAAAAAAATCGAGCGCGAGTCTGAAGATGCAGCAACGAGGCCCCACTGTTGTTGTCATCGGCGCACGCTTCCGAGATTTATGTGAGCTGGTGTTTTAAGCCGTACTTCGAAGCTAACGGTACGTCGGCTGTGAATGTCCATGCTCGCTGGGCAGTAGAGCATTGTTCTCTAGGATAAACACTTAAGGAACTATTGTAGTGGAAGCTTACGACCTTTGAATCTAGCTAACGAATCTAAGTCGCAGATAGTCATAACGTCTTGCCTTGCAACTCGAATATTGCTCAGTTCTACGTAATTGTCTTTGTGGTGGGATTCGTCGTTACTGGAGCTTAACTTATTATCTCTGCAAGTGCTGTACGCACGCCATCGCTTTTATAATGTCGAAGCCAACAGAAATGTTTATTACTTTTAGAAATTGAACAGTTGCTTTGGTTTAGAAAGGCTCGCCCCCTAGAACGGTGGATAAAAAACCGAAAATTAGTCGGTCGTTGTATTGGTTGTTGTGTACGAAGTACCTAGAAGAACGTGGTCGCAACAGCGACTAGCACGACATGACAGCCCTTTTAGCACTGCTGCTGCTGCTTCTGCTGCTGCCCGAAGCACACGATGGAGCCGCTTCATCCGAGTCTGTGGAGTTGAAGGCGACGGTGGTCCAGGTGGAGGACCCGGAGGACGAGCCTCCGGAGCAGGCTGTCTTGAGCGGGGTGATCAGGTCGGCGTACAAAGCGAAGCTTCCAACAGTGCACTCTGTGGGGGCGGTCGCTTCTGCGCCGGATAAAACCGACTGACAGGCCGTGCTGGTACACATTTTGGCCAATTCGGCGCTCGTCGGCGCGACCAGCATCGTTACATCAAAGCCGGAGTCACCCAAGCAAGTTACAGCTTCGGGGGAGGTGACGTTTCCAATGAGCGCAGGCACATCGCACAAGTCGGCGTTCGTGGTGGCAACGAGGGCAACAGCGACAATGGCGGTGGACTTCATGGTGTGGACTGAGAAAGCTACTTGATTTCCAAACAGGAAATCCGGAATTGCGTGCTCATCGGTTGACATTGTTTCAATTAAGAGGATAAGGCAAGAATGATGATTACTGAACGTGCCAGCACGACGATGGCACATCTACTAATCTGCGCCGTTACATGTACCTTATGCGGGTCCCGGAAGCATCCAACTCTTAGACGCCGACATCTTAATTTCGGTATTGCATAGGTCCCGTAGCCTATTCTTTAAATGTGACCCACGTTTAAAAAATCAGTGGTGGTGAGCTGGAGCAAACCTGATTGGAGCAGGGTCATTCGGTATTTACGTAGGCGGGCGCACCGACGAGCTCACCAACGAACGGACCCATTGCACTCTTCAGTACGTGTATTTTCCACCGCTGATACACGTGATCTATTCTCCTAAGTGCCCCCCCCCTCTCCCAAAAGGGCAATAATTATTATTCCGTACAAAATATAAACATTATTTTATTGATATTTATTATTCGGCTTACGATCGAGCAGTTTAAACGTTATATTGGGAATACCTCAAAATGAGGTAAATGGCCAGCCCTCACAGGATTAATTCTACTGCATTTCGTAAGCGTGGCATTCGTAAGACATCTATATTGTATGGTCGAACTATGACGGACCGTCATTGACGGTGGTTTGGAAGACAGCAAACTGACCCCAGGCGCTGAGTTCGTCAACTCAAAGACAGCAAAGACGAATCAAAGCCAATCGTTTGATTTGTTTGTGGATTCTGTTCGAATTTTTTTTATAACGGTATCGAGTTTAACTGGAAAATATTTGACGAAGATTACGATTTAATCAGAGATGGGATTTAATTCAATAGGGGGTTTCAAAGTTGTCATTAATTAGGATTTTTTTGGCGGAGATGAGCCTCTGAAACACCACTAAATATTAGGGGGTTTGCCACAAAATGGCGACGATAAAATTGAATTATATCGAGTTTTTAGTTAGACCTGATGGACAGAGAATGGGTTAGTACCGTTTGATTGCAGGTCAAGATATTCAAAGTGCTTCGCTCTTTGTATTGCATGCCGATGAAAAGTGCTACATATACTTGGCGTATTGCCAAAACTTTTAGCTATTGGATCCCTACATGGCTGTGGGATATTATTGTTCTTATTTTCTTTTCTTGTAAGAGATGGTTGATAACGTCGTGAGCTCGATGCAATAAAAAAATAGTCGATCATTTTTCGTAATTTAAGGCCTTAAATCATCTTGGTCCCGGGGCGACTTAAAATCCAGAAGCGACTGGAGGCGCTCGTGCCCTCGGATGCCGCTGAGTCCGCGAAAGGAACTGCGTGTACCTCATTTTGGATGATTGCGTCTGTAACTAAAAAAACGTTTGGCTTTACCGACGTGAAGGAAATTTGGGTGGGCACCCAGTTTGACGATAATTCAAAGCGATAAACGGGTTAACTCTGTACATCAGGAATACCTCGGCACCAGTTTTTCAAAAGCCAAACGATCCAAGTTGCAGGATTTCAAACGAAGCTGCGCTCCTGACATTAAGTTGCAAAATGTTAAACTTGATCATGCCCCCTTACACCGTTCTTCGAGCTGCGAGTTACCGCAAAATGTACGCCCGGATGGTAAAGGCTTGCTGCCGGCGCTGAGCAAAACTGCACTCAATTTCTGGTAGAGTACTGATCAAGTTATATACGTAGAATAATACGACTTGCTCAAGGAATGCATGGTTAAGTATCGAATCGCAGTCTATTCCACTTAAAACAAGATACTTCCTGGTTGCAATCTGAGTCGTACCGGCAGCTCATTCCAGACGCGTTGACAGATAGCTTCAACGCCTCACTAATGATCCGGTGAGGAAGTGGGGACTCGTGTCAAGGGGTCTTCGGTTGACGGGTCGCCCCTTTGAAGATTTCTCCCTGATAGGGAGGTGGGGAATGGTGTTGTGGGGCTTCCGGTTCTCGGGTCGTCGATTTGAAGGCCTCTGTAGCCTTGATGTTCGACCTCGCCGCTCATTGCAATGGCAAAAGCCAAACATAACACGGCGACAACAGCAGCCAAACTCTTCGAAACGTGCATCCTTCTTGGCTTGGATACTTCGACTGCTTCGCTTCACTTTCAATTGCCAATTTGGAAAATGACTCAGGCTATTAAGATATGGTGTGGGGATGTTGCTCTTGGGGTCTGATACTGTTTAGATGGCGGACCACTTTGAATTCATCAATGTTGATTCGGTATTTTATTATGCAAATTAGCGTTTGTAATCAAGTCGTACCGTAATCTTTCCGCTGAATTCTCTGGATTTTACAGGCAATCCAGTTCGGAGTTTCTTTAGGAAGGCACTACATGTACCTCACTAATACTCTTACTTCTTTTGTAGTTCATTAATAAAAACTCGTACTGGAAGAAAATTTCTTCAGCCCTGTAAAACTTGGTAGACCTGTTATCTCAATTTTTGATTCTTATACCACAGAAAAAGGTGGTGGTACAGAAATCTGCCTGAATAAGGAACGGGGTTTCAACTAATAACCTCGCATTTTTTATAGTCGGGAAAGATTTAGGGAGATGGGATAGTGATGGGCAAGGTACTGACAAAACAAACAAGACTTTGAGTTATCCAGCACTCAATTTAAAAAAATGGTGCGCAGTAGCTGATCCTCCTTCGCTTCAAGCCCTACGAGCCGAACTTCATTCCTACATTTACATACAAGCTCACTAGCTGACTGCGTCCTCAGCACCCCAATGTCCTCCAATCGTCTCCGTCTCACCTGGTCCGAGAAGGTAGAGGATGCTCGCTCACCTAGTCTGTCGTATAATGAGCTAGCTGAGTGGGCTTTGGGCTTCCAACGGCCCCTGGCAAAACGACAATATGCTATATACTCAAATCAAGTGTTGTGCTGTGCGGACGGCCTGTGGAAAAGGCTGTACGCAAGAAGGCGCAGAGGTTGGTCTCTCTCTAAGCAACGTCCGTGTTGAGGGGATCATCAATTGCATTTAAACGCTACATCTTATCGCAAAAATGATGTTCGCATTGGATCGCCTACGCGAAGGCCTCGACAGCCCGTACAGCGTCGACCAGCTAGCTGCACTGCTCTGGTGTGAAGCTGTATGGTCTAAAGTTAGCGCTTCCACGATTCAGCACTGCTGGAATCACCCGGTCTCTTTCAAAATCCGAATCTTCAATTTATCTTAACTCAATTCAATACATGCACATGATCCGATATCATAGTCTGTTTTTAGCGAGGCATTGTCAATTAATGCAATCTCTTTCTTAATTTATATCAGGCGTTCCTTATTCAGGCAGATTTCTGTATTCTTTTGTTAATCATATGTTTCTGTATTTATTTGTAAATGAATGCACCTGGTACTAAAAACAGTTTATTGACCTCTTATAAACAGTACCCGGTGGACATCAGAAGAAGAAAAACACACACGGTTTCATTAAGAGGAGATTACTCTGTACACGAGGCAATTTAATTTTATCTGAAAAGTAGATCGAACTATAGATAGTACTATTCTGCGTTTTGAAGATAAACATGTATTACTATACAAGGCGGTACGAAATCTTTTGTCGGCCCGGGTGTGAATAAAATGAAGGAATTTCAGTGGCTTTCATTACGATTTGATACAAGGATAAATATCATCAAGGTGCCGACACATAATTTTATTATTGAATTTATATAGGAAAATGGCAGCAGTGTGCGCCTTTTGACCAATGACATTCATCTATGTATCTAATCTACCAATAATATCCACTAGGGGTAGGCTTACAGGCTACCGACATTGTGCCGACGTATAATGTAGGCACGGAGGGCAGAATATGCAGCGGCTCAATACGAGCCACTAGTTCAGTCCACATCACTGGCATATTTGCGCTCTTACCGACAAAACACTAGAAACGAGTATGAGCCTTCAAGACCTCGCACCTGCCAACTCCCAGCACTCTGTCATGAGCTATTACCGTCACGTGAAGAACTGGCTGCTCGACACTCACCCGAAGCACCGCACGGCCATCGAACAGAAGCTTTTCAAGATGGGCCAGACGCTCGAGTGCCACTGCCTTAAGAGAGTCGAAGGTGGAATGGTCAAGAAGGCACCTGCGTGTACGAAGGAGGACTTGCGTATTCTGATGGATGGACTCTACTATGACGCCGCCAGTTCCAAGGACTACCAAGACGCGGCCTTGCTTGCACTGATGTGGTATGCGTTTGGTCGTGCCTCCAATTTTGGGCTCGTGGTCAAGGGCAATCTTTCTGTTAGTGCCGATGGTGTGGTGTTCGTTAGGCTCATCCGGGTGAAAACAGCAGAAGAACAAGGGATTTCACTTTTCCCCGACAGGGACAGCTTCATAACGTGCCCTTTCCATGCTATCGCAATGGCACTGGTAATGCAAGATTCCCCGTGCGCCCAACTACTCGACCATCCTCATCTTGCGGCAGGGAGCGAGGAGAGTGTGGCAGCACCTGTCGACATCCCACTAGCTGAAGCCCTTGCGCTTTGCGACGACGACGACGTTCCAGCTGAACCTCCTCAAAAAAAGCGAAAGGTACCTGTGGATAACATGAAGATCCATGCCTACGTGAATCGCGTTGTCAAGTCTGCATCGGCTGTTCAAGCCAAAGCGAACCCCACTGGGAATTTGACGTCTCATTCGTTTCGGCGTGGTGGAGCCCAACATGCCAACAGCGACCCACTACTCAGTGCACAATGCATTTTCGACATAGGGTCGTGGAACATGGCAGCAACAAACAAAGCGTTTGCATACGTATTCAACACAACAAGTGAAGACGAGAAGGTAGCTCGAGTACTCAGCGGGTGGGACTCCAGCAAAAAGCCACCGGTACCCACACTTTCATGGTTTGAATTCGCGAGCCGAGAGCAAGCGCTGGAATTGGGAAATCTGTTATTTCAGACTAGCATCAACACCCAAGATCCAGAGAAAAAACTCAACGGGCGTGTGGCTGAAGTCCTGGTGGCGTCGTTGATCCAACATTTCCCTGAAGTACTCGA